AGAGCGCTGCATTTGAGAAAACAATTTGATACATTGATTTTAAAAAGATGAGTACAAGATTTTCGAAGAAAAACCGAAAAATTTAAATATCTCAAAAATTTTGAATAAAGAGATAAATGTATCCTGATTGAAATAGCAGACATCGAGATGGATATTTCGACAGGAGAAAATTTAAATCATTCGAATAGTTTTTTAGATATTTTATAAAAAATATTTGAATGATTACGAATAAATGAAGTTTCTTTCTAAGAATCTTATATGAAAAATGAACCGAAATCTGCTGCATACTACACTGTGATTGTCTGGAATCCAATATTGAAGAATAATATTGAAGAAAAATCCATAGTAGTTCTCAGTTTCCTAAAATCGATTTTCCTCATAAAAAATACTAGCTCACCGTTTACCGGTATGGCGGTCCCTGCTGCTGCGAAGGAGGCCCCTGTGAGGATTATCCTTGTTGCTGTGGGCCTGGGAGACTATTCAGTGGGCATGGGCCTGGGTTATATGGTGAGATTGCGATGTTGGAAAGAGGGGCCTTTTCAAATATGGAAGTACGACCTGTTGGCCCGTCAATAATCCTCAAAACCGTTGAGATCCCAGAGATGTCGAGCCAAACGTGGATTCTATCAGCAGTGCTTCGCAAAGCACCAGAAATCACACTGTCCAAACTTGGTGTGGAACTCCGATCCATTCAGTCGGGATTTAAACATTATCACGAATGTGATAATATCCTCCACGAATTGGATTCATGTTTCCTTCTGAAATTATTAATCAATTAACCAAATTTAATTTTAAATTATTTCTAGACGTTTCATTTGATTTTTCCATTCATCTATGAAATACGATTTGATGAAAAAATGTGGGGAAATATTTTTCTAGATATCAATCAACAGACAGTGTTTGAAAATTTTCAATGAAAAATAATCAATTAAGCTCGTAAAGCAAAAGCTATTCATGAAAGAATCATTATTCCATGATAAGAAAATGATGATTAAAATTTAATAAATCCACAAATGTTAAAGATGAGATATTTTCAATGGAAAATCTTAAAAGATGAGTTGTAATTGCATCAATGTTTCATAAAAACATTGATACATACACTCATCATGTTTCAACCAATTCGACAATTGAAATTTCTAATTAAAATAACTTCCCTATTCAGGAGATTAATATTTACTCAGAATCAAATAATTAAAAAATCACTCCACATTTCTTCAAATTGATTTCCTCTTATTCTACTGAAAACCACTAATTTACTTTTAAATTCGCTACAAATTCATTGTTATTTCAACAAGCACTTACTTTCAATTACGCAATACGTTAGAAGTCGATTAGATGATTCTTCCGGTCCGGCGATCTCAGAGTAACTGATCGATGTAACTCATTAGTTTCTTCACTCTGATTGGTGTTGAACAAGAATAGATGATTTTGACTGGAACATTGGACTCAATCAAATATTCCAGATGAAAAATCATTAAAAAATTTTCTGTGATGAGCCTATGATGATTTTTATTGCGCTTTTTTCATGATATTGAAAAATAACGATTTTTTGATGAAAAATAATCGTAAAATAAGATCTATTATTTTACGACTATCTATTTAAAGCCTTCGAAGCGGAGTTATTTCTCAAATTGTTAATATTCCCGAAAAACATAGAAATATCAATTTCTCACTCTATTAGTACTATCATATTTCATTTTTCATTAGATGGTCACGAAAAAGAGGAAAAATTTTACAAGTTGAGACTCCTCGGATAATTTCTAGAACATTCTACAATATTTTGCTGAAGAACCTTCTAGAAAAAATTAGAAAAATGTTTATAGTACTCATTAAACATTGATGTACTATGTAATGTAAGTTTATTATACTATCATGAAGTTCACCTTCTGGAAAATTTTAACATGAAAATAATAAGTTCGCAAACAGTCGCCCCCCTCGCGCCGTACTCCAGTTCACCCCTTTCCCTCACGCAACTCTTCTAAGAGTATCGGCTGAGCGCAAGGTGTCAAGTTACTCAAAGATCTGATTCGAATGTTTATATTATTTATCACATTCTTTTCAATCGTGAGAACGGAATGCTGACTGTAGTCTTTTGAAGATCTGAAGTTCTAGAACATCCGATACATGGATAAAACAAGATTTTTGAGAGAAACAAAATTTTTTTTTCTGAAAAATCGACGGTTTATAGAATCTATCTAAATTTGATGAATACCATGAAACGGTATCGAATTCATCATACTTTTCAAAGTAAAATTTCTAGAGAATTCTAACATTGAATAATCACCAGGAATAAAGAATGATAAGAAAATTCTCGGGAAAATTTTCATCACATTCTAACCCTGTGCCCATAAACTCTCCTTCTCGGACCCCATGGTCCCACAACTGTCTGACCCTTATGACCCTCGTTCACCCCTCATCCTCCCCGGACATCATCGCCAGTCCATCCCTCCCTCAATCAACTCATCCACCTACAACTACTTGACCCTTATTTCCAGAACATTCCGAAAACGTATGGCAAACGTTTTCAAAATTATATTCAATGTTTCCCCTCGTAACAGTCTTCTCGCCCCCGGTCTCCTAGCCACCTTCTCTTCCCCCGTGGTCAGGTTAACGATGACTGTCTGACCCTCGCTCACCCTCTCACACCCCCTGCTCCGACGGCTGTCAGACCCTTGCTTAGCGCCCATTCCATAAAAATTCTAGAACATTCTGAAAACGTATGATAAACGTTTTTAAAATTCGAGAACATTCTGAAAACGTATGATAAACGTTTTCAAAATTATATTCAATATTTCTTTTGGCTGTGTGACCCTTATGTCTTGCCTCGTTCTCCTTGCCCCCTGCTCTTACCCCCATGCTCCGACCCCTCGCGCCTGACGAACTCTTCCGACTCTCGCTTACCCCCCATAAACTTCTAGAACATTCTGAAAACGTAGGATAAACGTTTTTGCCTGACCCTCGTGACCCTTACGCCACGCGCTGAGCCTCGACAACGCTCTACGACCCACGTGACCCTTTCTACCCCACCCCGCACCAGGCCCTAGTCGAACCTTCTAGCACCCCGCCCCCCTCCCCCCTCTCCACGCCCCGCACTGGCTTCTAGCCGAAACTTCCAGAACATTCCACCCCCCTCCGCCCTTCACTTCACGCCGCCCGGCTCTGGACCTGATGACTCATTTCTCAAGGTCAAAGTGATCCAGAACCGGCTTTGTTATACTACTTGCATCGATTGCAGATTCATATTCCATTGATACATACTGTCCATTGATGGTTCTCCAGGAATCCGATGGGTCTTTCCAAAATAATTTGTCATCCCGGAAACTCTCGTAATATTATTACCAGATAATATTTAACGACAATGAATAGCGAACTGATGAAACAGCTTGATTCAAGTGATATATAGGAGAGAGTGGGGTAAAACGGATCGTTTTCCATCGTCAGTAACTAGATATCGGCAGCGTATAATTGAACTTTTTTTTTTCAATTTTGTTATTTTTTTTTCAAGTGTCAAAATATGACCTGATCTATTCCAATCGTAAGACTTGTTCGGGAGATATTGATAACTTTTCGCCACGGCGGGCGGGAAGTGCACATTTAAATCTGACTTCTAGCTTAGGCCGTGACGAAAATTTGCGTTCTAATCACGAAAAGTAAAGTAAAAGACCCTCTTATCATTATGTACATATCATATATTATTATTATTATTATTAGTTCATATATAAACTAATATATATATTATTATGTATGGAAACATGTATGATAGATATAAAAGTCATACACATGGTAATATGTGGAGAGAATATATGAGTCATATAAGATGACTTATATTATCATATAATCCTCATACATGTGGACATACATATCTTATGTACAAGGCCGTATATGTCCCTTTATATGGGCATATATATACCGAAATATATCACGTATATATGACAAGTATATAGATCATATATACATCATATATTTTCTCATATATTTTGACATGTATCATGAAGTATACAACTTTTTTGGCGGATTCATACATGCGAAATTATATCCCATATATGACATATATGTCTCATATATTTCCACCTCTTTTTAGTCATATATTTATTTCCGTGGGGGATTTCTTCCGAGAGTAACATTCTCTAGATGATGATTGTCGTCAATATGATATTTCAATCCTAAAGTTGAAAATTGTCGATGGGAAATCAATACATTTGAATTTATTTAATTAAATTTAATAATTGCTGCATTACCTATGAAACTACGCAAAATGCTTACTTCAGAGTTTTCTCCTACGAAAATCAGTGAACTAAATTATTTTAAACATTTTTCCTCGATTATTCTGTGAATCATCATAACCGAAATAGGAATAACAAATGAAATTTGGTATCAAGGATTCAATTTCATGTTCTTCGATATTTTCTCCATTCTCAGCAGGTGAACTTTTCTAATAAAACAGTGTTTATGAGTAAATACAATCGAAAAGAACCATGAATCTATTCATCACAGCGCAAATTGTATGATGACATACATCCTTCATGAATTTTTCCGATAATAATTACACTGATCGAGATGTGCAATTTCATTTCTCGCTACCCAAGAATTTTCTCACCTAAATGTTCCATCACATTAAAATAAATTTCCATGTAGTTTTTGTAGTGGAATTCAACAAATTATGACTACATCAATTAATGAATCACAGCCGCAAAATTTTTCAATTTTTTTTTCTCTTTCTTTTTATTTTTCAGCACTGATTTCGCCCAACTTTCACAGAAGCTTGAGATAATATGTATGAAGATACCGAAATTAATAACAAATGTCCCCGGACAAAACCACGAAATTTCCAATCCAAAAATTTTCTGATGCTAATGTTCCATCACGTAAAAATAAGTTTCTATGTCGTTTTTGTGGTAGGATACAACAAATAAAAACATCAGTTAATAAATCCCAGTCAGGAATTTTTCGACAATTATTATATGTAATAATAATGATGATGTTTTTGCTGTTTAGGCACAGAATGCGAGCCAACTTCAAGCTCACACGTAAGAGGGTCTGCGCTATGGTTCGGGCGGATAGCATGACAGGGATAAGATTTGCCACAACAAGTGCCAAATCTGATTTCACATCGGTCAGATATAAAGTGGAACGTGGGCCTTTTGCCGAAGTTACGAATAATCATATAGATTATTTTCGGAGGCTTTTGGGAAACCGTACTGTGACTGATCCGGAGGAGTGTGAAGGATATAATATCGATTGGGTCAAGATGGTTAAAGGTAAACGGAATGAATTTTCTTGAGATAATGGTTAATTTGCCATCTATGAATGAAGTTTTCATCACTGAGGCCCGATAAATGGTACTTACGGTGGCTGTGTTCAGCGGGGGTAAATGGCGTTTAGAAGAACGAACCATAAAACGAAGCCAGGTATAGTAAGTGAGACTTACTGCTCCTTGGTTCGTACAATCGTGCAGTTAGTAGATGTATAACCTACATTACTTGTGTAAAAGTGCAACATGAAGTGATCCGTTATGGCTGCGGCTTCGGCGGATCCCAGGCAGGACTCGCCGAGCTCCAACAACCGTCCCAAGCTTGGCTTAACCTCGACTTGCCGAATCTTGGTAGACAAATGTGGGTCATAATTTAGCCAATGGTTCAGCCAGTGTTCAGCCAATGGCGCATCTTGAGCCTTGGTTACCAGGGTCGGACCAAATATGGACGAAGACTGTCCGCCAACACTTGGTCAACGAGGGGCTGCCAACCGTGGCCCAAGCTTTGTAGCCAATGAGTAGCCAGAATCGACAGATGTTCATTGGCGGCCATTCCTGGTCCAAGCTCGATTAGCCCGTCTTCGGCCAAGCATCGGGTAGCACAGCCTTCATCCAACATTGGTCCGACTGTGGTAGCCAAGGTTCAAGCTCTACCACTGGCTGACGACTGGCTCAGCCCCTGACTGAATTATGGTCCACGCTTGTCCACCAATGCCTGATGAGTCAGGGTTGAGCCAAGCTTGAACCAGCTGTTGAGAAGAGGGGGAGGGAGGCGTATTTGTAAAAACTCTCAGGGTTGAAGGAAGGGGGAAAGGACAGAATAATAATAATAATAATAATAGTAATAATAATAATGATATGTTATCCTCTGCCTTGCGGTAGAAAATAACATATTGAGATGCATCAAAGATCTTGCGCCGCTCTGGAGAACGCGCTTCACCATAACATCTAGTGAGGGGAGGCTGACTCGGGGTTGATGCAGTTCAGAAGAGGAGTTTTTCAGGGTGATACCCTGAGTCTCCTCTTGTTCTGCATTTCACTGATGCCGATTGCGTTGTGTGAGAGGGTATCAAGCCGGAAGACCTGGCGATAGGAGGCATCAGATCAGTCATGTATTTGAGATGGATGATCTGAAGTTGTTTGCCTCGGGAGAGCGGCAACTCAAGCTTTTGCTGGATGTTGTCGCGGTGTATTGACGTGCGGTTGGTATGAGTTTCGGATTGGACAAGTGTGCCGTCTTCCATATGAGGAGGGGTAAAGTGGGTGACGAGGTGAGTGATCTCCAGCTTGTGGATGGAAGTTTCATACATCATCTTGGTACCGAAGAGTCATATAGATATCTTGGATTCAATCAGCGGTCGGTAGTGGACGCTGAGGCAGTCAAGGAGACTCTTCGCGGTGAATACCGGCGGCGGCTACGGAGAGTTTGGAAATCCGAGCTTTCCGGCAAGAATAAAGTCACTGCATCGAACATGTTTGCTGTCCCAGTGCTTCTCTATTCCTTTGGCGTCCTCAAATGGAGTAGAGATGAGCTGAAACAGCTGGGCAGAGATACCCGTAAGCTGATGAACATCCACAGAAGTCTGCATCCCCGATCTTCAAGTCCGCGATTGTATTTTCCGCGCGAGAATGGGGGGGCGAGGCTTTCTCAGTTTAGAGGCTCTTCATGATCGTCTAGTCCTCGGTTTAGCTTGTGACATTATGAATGGCTTGGATCCGCACTTGGAATTGGTACGTGATCATTAGCTCCGTGGAATCCAGGCCTTTCTGTATAAGGCAACAGATGCCGCAGCAGCTTCCCTCGGTTTAGAGTTTCGTCGTGGCCGAGATGGTCAGTTGGCTGGTGACTCATTAGCCAGCATGACCAAAGCTCGGCGTAGAGCGACCATCAAGCAGGCGGAGCAGTCCACCTTGTTCCGCCAGCACATCGATAGGCCCATGCATGGCGCGTTTTTCCGTCATATAGAAGGTCAGGGCCTAACTTTTCAGCTGACATTTTCTTTCTTGAAGTCCGCTGGCTTGATGTCCGAGACTAAGAGTTTCATCTGCGCATGTCAGGATGGTGTAATAAATACCCTGGTCTATCGAAGCTGTGTTATGGGGTTGCAAGTTCCTGACACCCGGTGTCGGGCTTGCAAACAGTCCCCCGAAACTCTGATCTTCTGTCGGCCTGCCCGAGATATGCTATCACGAGTTATATTCATCGTCATAATGCGGCCCTAAGAGTGCTTTATTTCCATCTGCGGCACTCCTATGGAATAGACAGAACGCCACTGCTGCCACATGCTCCGGGAGGTTTTGAGTCCGTTGTCGTGAATGAGAGGTGTAAGATTTATTGGAACTTCTCCTTCGCGGACCGTCAGGCCAATCGTTGCAACAAAACCTGACGTCTTTCTCTACGATTTTGATGACAAAATCATCTATGTCATCGAGTTTTCGGCTCCCGCTGAGAGCAATATCACGGTGAAAGAAGAGGAGAAACGGCTTAAATACTAGCCGCTTCTGTTTGAGCTAAGTCAAGCAACTCGGGGATTTAAAGTGAAGTTGGTTGTTCTCATCATTGGTTCTTTAGGGGGAATGAAACAGTCATTTATATCTGAGATCGAAACCATCCCGGCCTGTAGGCGTCAAGCCTTTATGTTGGCTAGCCAAATGCAAAAGGCCGTCATCCTTGGGTCTCTTGGTCAACTTAGACAGCACGATTCTGGACTGCAATAGAGTTTACCCTCCGGTTGGAGGGAGGACTATTGCAGAGCGATTAGGAGAAGTTTGTATCGGTTAGCTTGCTGGGCGGTCTTCGAGGTGAAGTCGGAACCCTCGAGGATCACTCAGCAATCCCATTTGCATGGAACAATAATAATAATAATAATAATAATAATAATAATAATAATAATAATAATAATAATAATAATGGTCCATGGTGGTGTCGGGCTAACCACCCGGCGGCACCTATACCCGGTTCCGTCATCGAGCCGCGGCAGAGCCCCCCACAATCGGTCCCTCTCGGATGGGGACCGCGGATTAGTTGAGAGGGGTGAACGATCTGGATCCAATGGTAACAACCCGGCTGTCCAAAGGATTAGGTGGACGGCGGAACTCAAGGAGGACCTCATGCAATGTTGGCAGGACAGTGTGCCGGCGCAAGTGGGCCACATGGCAAGAATGCGAAGCTCGTGGTGCGCAATGCACCCTGAGTTTTCGCACTTCACAATTCAGCATTTGAGAGATCAAGCCAGTCGCTTGCGCCGACAGGGATATGATTTGCTTGTCGTTCCACGGGGGCTGATGGATCCTCCTCCTCTTGTGGTATCTCAGAGGAGTGAGGATATACAGTCAAAGCAACCGACCCAACAGAGCCATGAGGAGCCTCAGGGGTCCTCGCGTGATATAGGGGCAAGACGAGAGAGAGTCACAGGGAAGTTCCGTCTCCGGCCTGAAGATCTGGCCATTGAGAATGCAGGTCTGGCCGCAGTCCTTCCTCCGGATATCAACTTGCTCGATCTGAACTGGGCTGTGTATGATGCGGCTCTTCGTTTGAAGCCGCAGAACCCAAGTGAAGGGTCATTTGAGGTGAAAACGCGAAGGCGCATTGTACAGCTCCAAGGTAAAGTCGATGAGACTAGGAAGCAGGCGTCGCGCATTCAGTGTGCGATTGACTTCATCATCGGTTGTAAGCCTTTTACAGCGCGCATTCGTAAAATATCCGCGAATTTGCGCTACCATCATCACACGCTGAATAAAACAGTCTTCCTCTTAATTAAGGAGAGGTTTGTTGAGAGGGTGCGCGTTCTGGGGACCATGAAACGGTCTCTGGAACAGCGGTTGCATCGGGTGGTAGACAATTCTGTCTTCCATTCTGATCCCAGTCGCTGGTTCGAGCCGCCTACGCCTGCGCCGGATAAGATGCCTTCAGTTGAGCGAGTTGAAGAGTTCTGGGGAGATCTGTATGGTCA